TTCTTCTTCTTCTTCTTCTCAGAGTAGAGATAGAGGTAACTGCAGACATTGTTTGAACACGGCCTTCTGCCTTATTGGACATGACATTCAGATCGGACTTACACTCTACATTGGGATTRGACTGTGTACGAYATTTGGAGATCAGACTTGGGTTAGACTTGCTTGCCTATGTCTCCCCCCTCTCTATCTCGCCTGTCTATGGATCCCTCYCCATGTGTGTGAGCGGAAGGGCAATCTTTCTGATGTCTGGCCCTTCCRAAGTTTATCCGTGTCTGTCTGTTCACGTGTCCTTTTTTTRCTAGATATTCCGCTGCGCTGCTTCACAGCCCATGATGATAATGATACGAATGTGTGGTTGTTGATTTCTCGTTGGGTTGCTCTTTGCATCATGCACATTGACATCTTGTGAATGCTGCACCTATGCTGCTAGTTGTTGCCACTTTCGTCATTGGTAGATCCTAGGCTGCCAGTGCATTTCACTTTCTGATATGCTACACACACACTGAGCTCTCCTTTGCTGCTCGATGGGGACTTGGTGGCGTGCTTGGATTCGTGCTCATCCTCGATTCGTGCTCATCCTCGATCCGTGCTTTTGGTGGTCGGTGCCCATCGTGGATATGTGCTTTTCATGCTCATCGTCGATCCGGGCTTTTCGTGTCGTCGTGGATGCGTGCTTTTCATGCTCATCGTCGATCCGTGCTTTTCGTGCCATCGTGGATACGTGCTTTTCATGCTCATCGGCGATCCGTGCTTTTCATGCTCATCATTGATCCGTACTTTTCGTGCTCATCGTTGATACGTGCTTTTCATGCTCATCATTGATCCGTGCTTTTCGTGCTCATCGTTGATACGTGCTTTTCGTACTCATCATCGATCCGTGCTTTTCATGCTTGGTGATCGCCGTGGATGCGTGCTCATCGTGAATCCATCCACCGGTGATCACCGTGGATGCGTGCTTTTCATGCTCGGTGCTCATCGTGAATCCATCCAGACGTGCTCATCATTGATCTGTGATTTTCATCCTCATCCAGACGTGGTCACCGTGGATGCGTGCTCACCGTGGATGTGTGCTCATCGTGAATCCATCCAGACGTGCTTTTGGTGCTCATCATCGGCCCTCCCTTCTTCCTCCCTTTCTCCTTCCTTCCTCCCTCCGTCGCGCTCCTTCCTCCGGTGGCGTTACCTTCCTCGGCCCTCTGCCCTCCCTCCCTTCGTGCTACCTTATCTGGGAATGATATAGAGAGTGCATTCCGTTTTTCTTAGTTTTCTCAATTTGCGTTAAGGCTTAGCGCCACATTTTTTTTCAAATGTGAATAAGGGCAAGCGTGTCGCGAGTGCGGTTGCGCACAGATGCACACATCGAGAGGTGTGGATGGATGGCGCGCGCGCGCGCGCGAGAGAGAGAGAGAGAGAGAGAGAGAGAGAGAGAGAGAGAGAGAGAGAGAGAGAGAGAGAG